AACCCGCGGGCTCAGGCAATCCACTCACCTCAGCCTCCCAAAGGCACGGGATTACAGGCTGACACCGAGACCGGCTTATATATCACTTTCAATTGATGATGCTGTTTTTAATTTCTATTTCATTTTTTAAAATTGCTCCTTCTATTCTTTAAAACTCTTTCAGCATTTTCTATGTCATTAACCTATGTATTCTTATAAGTTTAGCATTCACTTCTGCAATAATTTAATCTGTGAAATCTAATTATTTCTGCATTCTAGGCCATCATTTCAGAGTTTTTCTAAATTTATGTTGTCCTTTTTTATAATCTATCATTTAGAGCATTTATTTCAACTTGTTTTTATATATTAGACTATACTTGTCCTGTCTTATGAGCACAAAGTGTTGGTATGTTCTTATTGTTTGCAGATATATTATTCTATTTCTTATCTTAGTTTTACAGAATTCATCCCTTTCTAGTATTTTTCTTCTTTTTTTAATTAAAAAAAATCCTGTTTTTTCCACAAGAAGGATTTTATCAGGAGATCATTTCTGGCTTCGCAAATCTAGAACCTCCTTTTCTGTACTCTTTTGAAATTAAAAAAAAAAAAATCCTTCTTTTTTTTGAGACCCTGGACTCTGTTTACGTCTACCATTTTTATCTAGAGCTTTCATTTCCTTTTCCCTTGTTTTTTCTACCCCACTCAATTTGGACATCATTTTCTCACGTTTCTGCTGAAAAGGAGCTTTAGTTAGTGAGTTTGCAGAATGTTCAGACACTTCAGACATTAGAGAGGAATCTCTTCATTCACCTGCAACACACCACTCCCATTTTAAGCTACTATGATGCAATTGACTTGAGACAATTTCTCATGAATATTTATTAGATTTGGTTTTACCCTGGCCTCATCTCAATCAGACATCTCATCACTTCCCTCTGTTTTCTTCTACAAAAAATTGTGGTATCTTATGGGTGATGAGATTGTTATATTTCGGAATTTTTGAGAATAAGTTGCCACCCAATTTTGTTATCAAAATTATTTGTGTTTTTTAGTTTTGCTATCCCAGTTGTTCTTTATATTTTAATAAGGACAATCCAAGGTATTCAAACTCTTGGTCACTGCTGCCACCAATTTTTCCAGAACTCCAGAATAGATTTATTTTGGGAACTGCATGGAAAGAGGCTCATCTTATTTTTGATAAGTTCTAACTATTCCACATTCAATGTGGTTTGGTAGCTTTCGGACATGCGGTGTTACTTGTCCCTTAAAATGCACCAGGTTCTAAGAGGATATAATATAGGAAG